CAAATCTCTTTAATGTCACTGGCTCATTCTGTGATAAAAGCCAGATAATTTAGCCTAGCGGATGATGTGCTTTGTGTACCAGTGGTCCAGTTCGTTAGCTGGCTCCATAGTTGGTGCAGAGTAAGTGGCCTCGTTCCTCCACATGTTCCTTTGCTTAAGCCACACTGAACTGTTTGCTGCTCTGCTGTATATCTCTGAAATTCCCTTTGTTCCCCCCGCTCCCTCTATTGGCATCGCCAACCTCTTCACTAGATAATTCTAATGCATCCTTCAAAACCCATTTCAACATTACCTCTTCTTCCACTGATCTGGATGCCCTCTGCCATGCTTGCACTAGGAAGAGCCAAGGTATTCCTCTCCTACCCTGTATGGGCCCTTCAAAATGGGAAGGACAGATGGCGGCAGCAGCCTACGGAAGCCTGTTGATGTGCAGTTTCTCAGGCTCCACCTCAGACCCACCCAATCAGAATTTCTGGAGATAGAGCTTGGCAAATCATGATTCTTCTGCATGCTAAGGGCAGAACAGCACTGCCCGGATCTTTTGAGAGCACATATGTTACTGGGTCTCTGACTCCCCAGGGTCTCTCTTACTGACTGGGATAAAGCAAAGGATCAATAAATGATCAATGGGTGAACAAACATTGGGTTAATCCATTGATTCATTAAACCTTAGGTCTTTGATCTAGGAAACACTGAGTCCACCAATGCCTCCAAGTATTCTTAGAATTGGAATTTGTCTTTAATTTTGAATTGGCTAGGGCTCAGGTGTTCTGTTTGTTTTGGCACTATTCTAAGGGGCACTGAAATATTTAAAGTTTAAAATCTGAAGTTTAGGGCTGATCAAGAGAAGCACAAAAATGAACAGAGTATCTCTCAAAAGTACATTTTTACGTATTCTACTGTACAGCAGAAGGTGGTACCCTCTGCTTCAAGCTCTGAAAGATTATTTGTAGCTTTCCTTAAATTGTCCTCTTTGACTATTTTTTGAATATAGTAGTTTAGGAAGAAAAATGCAAATTGCACAGCTACGGTAAAGACTGCTACATATCAAAATATCTCAGATTCTCTGGTTTCTCGCAACAGTCTTTATGCTATCTGCTGCTTGGAAAGCTTTCTTGCAGAACTTCATGCTAAAATTAAGAAGGCTACTTGTAGGACTTTTCAACTTTTTTCAGGTGTAATTTTATTCCTCTAAAACAAACTGATGTAAGACATAGCTTATTAAATATAAACTGCTCACCATCATAAATAAACAAACAAAAAAATTACTGGATTTTGAAATAATTTTCAGTACTATTGTTCCACAAAGGGGGGAAAAAAAAAAGACACCGTTCTTGAAGTCTAACACACAGCCCCTCCTTCCTTCATAGCAGTTGGACTTGTTACTACCAAACCACCTTAAAGAGAAAGTAGCTGGGATAAATGAACACCGAAGGGTTGGTAGTTGAATAGATAACTTGAATCCCATCCAGTACACAGAATTGTTTAAAGTATAGGTTAAACAAAGTAAAGGGCAGGTGTTTTGTTTAACTATTTATCTTGAGGTTAAGGACTCTATAGGTGGCAGAGTATAAAATAGCATCTGCTAGTAAAACTGCTATCCGATGGACATCAGCATGAACAAGCAAATAGAAAACAAGGGTCATAAGGATAGTTAGGGTTGGCATTGGTGGCAATTATACCTCCCCTGCCACACTCCCTCCTTAGAAAGGCTTAAAAGAGGCAGCAGAGGAGAGATGTCCAAGTGAGAACTGCACCCAAAGGTGCAACTGATCTATGTGGCTTGGTGCGTGACAGGGTCAACCACAGTCTTCAACCTTTCCTCACAAATACTTCCTTCTCACCCATAGGACAGTATCTTGATAGAGAAGGTCTCTTCACCAGCACTTACAGTGGTTATAGAGATAAGTGAGGAAATTTTATTTTAGAAACATTTCCCCAGTTTTTAGTTTTGTTAGATGATATATTTTTAAAAAATGGAGGATAACACTCAATGAAGTGTTGACCAAAGGGAGTAGTTGGCCAATAAATGTAAATGGCTCAGAAAAAAAATGTTGAAATATATTAACTGGAAATTGAAAGTGTAGTCAACTTTCACTGACACATCTCAAAGGCGCCCAGAGTCCTACTCTAATAAGGGTAAGCACAGGTTTTCAGGGCCACTTGCTTGTTTTGGCCTCCACATTTCATATGATTTAGTTCCTCAGTTTCTGTTTTTTCCTAAGTTTAAGTTCATGGCTTTTGTAGGCAAGCCAGAGTCCACAGGGAGAAGAATATAATTTCTATGACATGTTGATCCTGGATGCCAACAAAGGAAGAGTATCATCTCCAACTGTTTTGGGATATTAAAAACAAGCATATGGGGATTAAGTTTAACTAGCAACAGAGAAAACAGCTGACTTTCCTGGATTAAAGACCTTTGCAATTTAGGTTGTATCTGTAATTAAGCTGATTAGAAAGAAATTTCCAGTTTTTTATTCTCTGGAATAATTCCAAAAATCCTCTGAGTAGGTATGCTACAGAAGCTGAGCAGATAAAGTGATTAAACAAATATATAGGGTTTCATGATAAACTCTAGTATAAAACCAACAGAAAACTGCAGAGAAAAAAATATATGTACATGTATATGAATTATGTACATGTATATGAATTATGTACAAGTGTGTGTGCATGTGTGTGTATATATTACTCAATATGGGCAAATATAATGGAAAACTCGTTGAGCACATAAAAATTATATTCAAAATTCCCATAAGATATTTATTTTTTTCATTCAGACTTAAGCTATTGTAACACAGCAGGAACAAGCAGCACGGGTTACATCTAAAGCTGGATGTATCCACACCCCCTTAGTACAGCCAGATCCACAGACATGTGAGCAACTATAGCATCAGAATGCCAGCAAAGCACGGTTCCATATAGGGAATATAAAGGCACCCATTCACTTCCTCTCATTAACGTCACAGTCAGGCTTTGAACAATGCAATTGATTAACATATTCATTGTTCTCGTATGCTTTTGCCTCAAATTTTTACATCTTTAGGGATCAAAGATATGTGAATACTTAGCAAACAAATACTCCTGCAAAACCATCTCTGTAAAACGTAGTGGCACCAAAAGTGCCAGAATGGATTTTTTACTGTTTCAAGGGACCTAAAAAAATGCTAAGGAAAACAAATCTATGAACCAATTTTATTTTTATTTGCTTTTAACATGATTATACACATTCATGTGTCTAACAAGATCTGCACTGTTACATTAAAAATACAGTACAATAACATTCAACATGAGGTACTTCATATTTATATATTTTTCCTTCATAAATAATGCTGTAAGCTACTAAATTCAAGCACTCTGATGCACAAGTGGCCAGTGTCTTGAATTAGCCAAGCTTATTTAAACACCTTAAAAAAAACAAAAAAATGACAGTTCAGTGCAATAATTATGTAGAAATTAGACCATTTACTTAAATACTATATTAAGATATGCTTAAAGAATGTTACATTAGAACTGCTAGCCTAGTTCCCCTTTATCCCCAGTATGAACAACGACAAAGACTGCCAGATATATTGGGAAAAGCATCTACAGAATATTCTGTTTAATAAAGTTGTGTTTATACACTAGAGTTACCTGCCTTGTCAGAACAATGGTTTCTAGTTTTTAAAAGCTACAAAATTCGAGATTACCAAAGAAAATAAAGCAAGCATGTTAGCTTTCATTCCATGTTGTTGAAAATGCAAAAGGGAGAATAGGATTTAAAATATAAAATTTCTTATTCTAAATACAGTTTTCAAATTTAACCCACGGCTCTCAGCACCAGCCAATCAGGTGGTGGATGTGTCTTTTCTTTTTTAGCTAATGGTAATTAACATAAAACCAAGCTCTCATACCCCCAGTATACAGGATCTCCCTCAGCAGTTCCCTACCCACGTGGAGGGCATCTTGCTAACCAGAACACTGACAGTGAATGTTACCAAATGAACAATCTTCACTCTAAGGTTATCACACCCACCTCAACAATCTGAGATGATGACATTAGTGCTAAATCAAGTTTCTTCTCCTCTGGCTTAAAAATGAGTGCCTTCTAACCAGGTATACAGCCTACCAATTTGCATGGTAGCTATGAGTTACTGAAATGTTTAATCATAATTTAAAGGCAAAATCCTTTATAGAAGTATTTTTTAAATTGGAAACATAACCTTTATTTCATAGATACTTTGCCGAAACATAACCTTTATTTCATAGATACTTTGCCAAAACTACTCTCTGTCATCTTCCTAATAAGAAATAATTGTTAGGTAATTTTGGAAAGTTGTCCTGGGAGTACTCATCTATAATCACCAGTAACAGCTTTTGATCACCTATGCTAACAGCCATAGGTAATGGCAAACATGATTAAAACATTTCCCATAATCCAGTGTTCTCCTCCACCAGGGAAGCTGGCCAAAAGCAACAAGCCCACGTCTATGGGGGAAAAGGTGGCCCAGAAGCACAGTGAATCAGATAAGGGTAGTCACTTCCCAGGGCCTTGCTAGGGCCAGCAGGGGAACCATTTCTGTCCCACCTCTCACTGGCCAGGCAGGGAGGAGACAATTCCTGAGTCGGCAAACACACTTGCATGCACGTGGACGCACACGGACGCCCACAACGCGCACACACCCGCCCACCCCAGGACTAACCCCTGGCTCCAGACAAGTCAGCTAGGGACCTGCGGAGCAGGAGAAGGAGGTGGCCAGGGACCACACTCTGGGTGGTGGGGGAAGCCATCTCAGGATCACACTGAGCAGAAAAGCTGCCCAGAAACACATGGATACTTCAACTGGAAGTGAACAAATTGGACACTACCAGGGTCACAGGCACTAAACCATCACAAGCCATCACTGAAGGAGAATGTTGAGATGAGCTTTTCCCTCCTTTGTTTGCATGAACCATGTATAAATAAGAGGGCTGGATGTGATGCTGATGCAGTGAATATTTAGGTACCATCAAGTGTATTGCTCAGGACCTTTTTTTTTTAAAACCCTGCAGGCATATATTGGCACTTTACAATGGCCAAAAGCCAAATTCTAGCAGTCTAGGAACAGGACATAACTATAATTAACGAAGAAGATAGTATGTGGTCAAAGCAGATCAGGTAGAGTGTATTTTGGAATTAAAAAAAAAAAAAGAAAAATCAATGAATAAAAGTATCTTATTATATTAACATGTAGTGCTACAAAACTAGTGGTTATTCCATACATCTGAAGAATTGTTTGGTCCTCTTTTCATGGGAAAAAGGGATTAAAAATTCCATACAGTATAACATAAAAACAAGCAAACAGTGGGGATCAGAAGCAAAGTGGGGAAAAGACTGGCTTTTTCAAACGGTGTGTTCTATTATGCCATTAAAGAAACTATTGGTAGAATGGGACTTTTTTAGGTTTCCTTTATAAGCTGTTTTAGTTTAAATTAATAGGCCTGTGATTTTTCCCTATTGACAATAAAAATGTGTAATTTAGTTAGTTCTAAAAGACGGGTCTGTATTGCAGGTTTGTCTCCTAAACTAAAAGAATAAAAACCTGGTTGTAGTAGAAGTCATGGCCTAAGCAAATATCCAATTTCCTGTTCTCCTATTTTACATGGATACTTTGCAGTGTTTAACATTTAATAACCTTATGAATTTAGGATTTAAGAAAAAATAATGCCCAGAGTAAAATATTTAAAATGAAGTAAAATAAGAGCTAAACATAACTATTGCCTACTTTCTAAATTATTACTTATTACGAAGGAAAACTTCTTTCAAAATTGTGCACTGAGGTTTACCTGTAATGGGGGGGGGGCAGGGGTTCTCTTTAAAAATAACTCTTTTCATTATTATTTAAAAGTCTTTATTTCTATTTGTCAAAATAAAACCTTAAGGAAAATTCAAGGTGATCTAGAAAGTTTTAAGAGGGACAAAACTGGGAGGTCAGTGGGGCAGTTGGAAAAGAGCACAAATTCTCTCCAGGTGTATAGACGTTAACTCTAAAAACCACAAAGCCTTGATAAGAACTTGGCTCTTTTAAGCATATAGTTAGAAGCTGAATGCTGCATTTTTGCCTGTACATAATTAAAAGGCTGAAAGAAATGAGAAACTGCCTATAGCTTCATTCATTACGAATTACCTGCGCTGATCACATCTCTGCAGATGAGCTAAGCATCAAGCCAGTGGGAACCAGATGTGCACCTCAGAGCTCACACCGCTTCGGGAGGGGTTTTCAAGCATAGAATATGAGTTCAGGGATCTGCCCGCCCTGCACCCCAGTGCCATTGGTGCTATCTGAGGAGCACTGGAACTGGACAGTCACCTTGCCACACTGAACTTCCGTCATGCCTTCCTGTCCGAAGTAGCTGAGTTCATTGCCGTCCAGTATCACGCTGGCTGTGTAGAAGGTGTCTGGCTCAATCTGCACCGGGTACTCGAACCACACAGGGAAGGTGTTGCTGGAGCCGTCTGAGAAGTACTTGCTCAAGTTCTGCCCCAGAACGACGCCCTGCCGCTTGAGTTCGATCTTGGCGCTGTACTCCGCAGAGCCACAGCTGGAGCCGTAGAGCCCAAAGCCGGCAATGAACACTCTCTTATCAACCGCAAACTGGATGCTGTCACAGCGGCCCCGGTAACGCCACTGGTTGCTCCGATAGGCACAGGACTGGAAACGGTGACAGCGCTGGGGAACGAGGCCCTTGCGAGCTTTACTCACAAACTGCAGCTCGGGTTTTTTGGCTGCAGTGTACCAGAGGAATATGTCGTTGGTCTCATTGAGAGTCAGAACTCCAGACTGGGCAGCACCATTTGCAAAATCATCCAGGGCCATGGTGGGGATGCGGATCAAGTAGAGTGCCTTTCCCAGGACCTTGCGCTTATTCTCAATGCTCAGAGCCAGATCTTGTCGCTGGCATTCCACTTCGGCCCAGTTGAGTGCTGCCTCAAAAACCACAATTTCTTTGGCATTCAGAGTTTCCCTGCGGAGGATACTTTCTAGAGTTTGGAAGTCGATATCGCAGAATCCCTCAGACTTGAGAGCTAACTCGGCCTGGGCATCGATCACCTCCCAGCAACGCTGAGTCAGGTCTGGCTCCTCAAACAGACAGCTCTGGGAGAGGAGCACACAGGCGTTCTTGGCGCTCAGGCTGGTCTCCAGGAAATTAACGCAGGCTCTGGCGAGGTGAGGGACAATGTACTTTTTGGCAGCGTAAAGAGTGGCCAGCACTGTGTCAGCAGCCAAGTCAATTTCATCACAATAGATATATCTGAAAGAGAGCACCCAGCATATAAATGGAACTTTCACAAAATGAGCGTGTCTAGCAAGAAAAGATGCAACTACTTTCAAGTTAGTTCCAAGAAAATCATCTTATGTGACAGTTATTACAAAAACGATTAGGGATTAAAGAAACATCTGAAGTATGTTCATAAATTATTAGTATTTCAACTCAGCAGTAAGTTTGTATAATTAAAGACATTTACTTTGTGTTACCATTCTAGCTTTTATTTTATAACCTGCATTCAATGTCTTCTCAAAAAAGAGAAGATACTAGAACTGTTTGGAAAAAAGAAAAAAAAAAAAAAACCCAAAACCAAAAAAAACAAAAAACTGTGTATCAGAGTTAGTATTAGCAAAAAACAAAAAAAACAACAACAAAAAAGGCAAAATTTCTATTAAATACACCATATTGTATTTAATCAAATAATCTCTGGAGTGCCTGGGTGGCTCAGTCAGTTAAACATCTGTCTTTGGCTCGGGTCGTGATCCAGGGGTCCTGAGATTGAGCCTGGAGAGCCCCATGTCCTGGCTCCCTGCTGAGAAGGGAGTCTGTCACTCCCTACCCCCTCATGCTCTCTCTCTCTCTCATTCAAATAAATAAATAAAATCTTTTAAAAAAGAATAATCTTATGTTTCAAAAGCTCTCTTTCTATATACATAAATACATATACATAGTTTTATTTTTAAAATTTTCATATATTCAGAAAGAAACAAATGCCTTTAGGGGTACCCAGGTGGCTCAGTGGGGTAAAGCCTCTGCCTTCAGCTCAGGTCATGATCCCAGGGTCCTGGGATTGAGGTCTGCATGGGGCTCTGTGCTCAGCAGGGAGCCTGCTCCCCCACCTCCCCCCACCGCCTACCTCTCTGCCTCCTTGTGATCTCTGTCAAATAAATAAATAGAATCTTAAAAAAAAAAAAAAAAAGGAACAAATGCCTTTAATACCATGTTAGCAATGATTTACATCTTAATTCTTTTAACCAAGTAAGACCTGAATTTTTCCTAAACACAAAATAAAACCTGAGATTAAGAAAGATATTTTTCAAGTAGTTCTAAGTAGACTATCATATATGGATTTCAACATTATCTTCCAGTTGCCTTTACATAGAATCCAACATAGGCTTTGTATCTGGATTTTTTTTTTAAACTCTAAATTCTTTCTTCTCTCCCCCATACATTTCTTCTACCTTCAGAATTAAAGAATGTATTATTTCTGAATACATTTAATTAAAAGACAAAAGCAAGAAAGCCCAAATATGTACTATTTTTATGATTCTGTGAAGTATCTCTATGTCAGGAAATAAAACACTCCTTGGTGATTTGGGGAGATGGTGGCAGTCTCCCAAGATGGTATATAAAAGCAAAAATCATCTGCTTCTTTTAGATAGCCACGGATGAGTACAAGAGTTCAGTGAGAACTACATATGGGTGAAATATACACAGTGATAAAACTTAACTTTTAATTTTTTCCAGTCAAAGCTAAGGTGTTTAGCTACTTGCTGTGAAGTTTTACTTTAGTTACTATATTTTAACTCAGTGAAACACATGTAACAAAAGATTAGCAATGGCTTTTGCAAAGAAAGTTAAAAAAAAGCCCACAGTGATGACAAAAAGAAAAATGTCCACAATCACAAATGAAACCTTCAGTTTTGCTCCCAGGAAGCTCTTTCTCTTCTGATAGGCTGAGCCATATACCACTGGCCAAGACACACGCACAAAATACTGGAAGCTCAGTGCTGCTCTGACCCTGGAACTGTCAAGTGAGCGGTCTTCCCTTTCTCTTGATGACTCCCTTTCTAGGAATACCAACTCCTCAGCCATACAACACAGCTGTCTGGAAAACCTGGCCTCCACCAGCCCTGGCAACAGTGCAGTCTTGATCAACTACGGCCCAACAGCAAATGGCACCTTACTACATTTCTGATTCTTACCACTGCTGGTGGGCTACATGTATAATTTTAAAAAGCTGTATTGAGATATATTCTAGGTGATATATTTGTAAGAAAAGATGTGAATCAAATGACTCGGGTGAAATGTAGTTCTGTAATTCTTACTCGTGTTTCCTCACCATGAATCTCTCTGGCTGAAACAACACAACACTCCACTGGACTGCAGTGCAGTCCCAATGCTGAACTAGTGTTAGCGTTCTCCTCTGAGACCAAAATGTCAAGTACACAAAGCTGACGTGATCGGAAAAGAAAAGAAAACAAAACAAAACAAAAAACAAAAAACAAAGCTAAAACTGGTTTCTGTACATTTATCTCTAAAAGATTAGAAAGGTCACTGACTGTTGGTTGCTTGAAAGTGGTGAGTTAGTTTACCTTTTGATACTTCACGTGCTCACTTATCTTTAATTTCCCTATTTCCCACTGTGGAAGTTTCAGTCAGAAGCAATTAGACTTCAAAACTACAACATAAATAAATATTTGAATAAATTAAATACTTTTAAGTTCTACAGCTAACTGCAGTACGCATTTTTCAGTAGGAGCAGACAATAAATATCTTGCAACCTCTTAACCATTTGTGGGGTTACTGTCCAATTATCGTCCAACTTGTTGACACATAGAATGATTTTTTTTAAACAAAGATGTTTTTTCCAGGGAACCTAAATCCCCACAGCAGTAGACAACCTTGAACTCTGCGTATACTTGGTGTGCTAGAAGAAGGATTTAACAAAAATCATAAAACGTTATTTAAAATAATCACTGCGGGTTAATCACAGAGTAGACTATCACTGTCCAGCAGCAGTGCACATCAGAGGAGTAGACTCTATTTAGCTAGTCAACACGTAATGGAGTTTAAAAAAGACCCATGAGACAAAAAACTATTTTTTAAATAAGCATATATCTTACAGCTTCACATCTGTATATTATTAAAGTTTTCCTGTAAAAATACATATAAAACTATAAAAAACTATTCATCTCTCTCAAAAATGTCTCCTCTACCATCAAATGCAAATGCTTTATCCTTGAGAAATGGTATCTGATTTTATATAAGGGTATGCACATGTACATATAGGCAAAGATCAGATTATTTTAACACAGTAAGTTTTACATTTACTGAGAGGAAACAGGAACTCCTAAAAAACTGAGAAATCTCTTAACTAGTGGTACTTCAATGAGGTATATAATTGCTCAAATTGTGAAACAAAAATATAATTTATGTCTTTGGAGACTTCATACACAATGCTGTCAGAGAGAACATGCGCAATCAGATAATCCTACACGAGAAAGTGATTTTTCTTTGACTGTGAGTCGTTAAAAATCAAATCACTATCTATGTCACTTGCTCCCAAATCCCACGCCAAGGTGTATTATAGATGCCTGCACAGTTCTACATGCTTTCCCCTGAAAGATGCACAGGAGTTTTCTCCAAAAACATTTACAAGGTAAGCAGCACCCTCTTTCTTCATCGGTCTCCCTTTCTTATATTTAACTGAGAAACCAGCACAGTACAAACACAGCATAAACAAACTCTTTCTAAACAAATGAACGATGCTTACTTCAGCATAGCGAGAAAAGCAGCAGGTTCGACATCTGGTATACGGATTTCATCTTTGTCCTCAGCAAGTTCTCCGTAAAACATTGCATGGAACACAGAGCTCCCAACAGCTAAAACATACTGTGGAGAAAGGGAAATCTTATTTCATGCACTAAACTGAAAGCATTTTCAGCAAATCAGCCCAGAAAAACAACTCTGAACAATCAGGTTTGGTGGACATGGAGCACCTACACCTGCTCTTTCTTCATAGCCAAGGTACAGTGTGTATCTTGCTGTGAAAGCAGAAGATAGATGCTCATGCAAGCCAGTCTTTATGCTGCTAATTACCTCAAGGCTTTAAGAGATTAATGTCTAAGTTCCCTCATTACAAAATAAATAAATCAAATAAAAGCTTACCGAACCAATTTCTAGGGGAAGAGTAAACATGACTTTCCTAACCTGTCGCAACAACTTCCCAGGACTGGAAAGTTGAGAGGGCATGTTTTTGTGTGGGATGTAAAGCAGGGTAGAAAGAAACAAAGAAAAAAAAAAAAAATCAAGCGTGGCCAAGACCCTTTGGAGAGGCTGTGCTTTCTCTGTGATGGCTGAAACACCACTGCCTGCCATCGGCAAGCTGCCCACCCCAACCAAGTTTCAGGCTTATGGAGAGGGTCCCTCTTTGTAAATCTCAGGACTAAACCAGTAATGCAGCTGTTGCTTACTTTGTGTCCTGGCAACCGCTGAGTCCCACCTGGTGGCCCAACCACAAAATGTACATCTGCCATCAAATCATTATTGAACATCACCGCATTTCTACAAACAGAGGCAATTCATTAATGTACAGCAGCCAGCATTTTTAATACCCCTCCCCAACATACAAAACCCAGGAAAGAATCACAAGCTAAGCAACAGTTTAGCAACTTCAGGGTTAAACTACAAATAAAGATTCCAACGAAACAACTGTTTGTGATCATTGCAAACACATGAGAAGTAACTAGAGTTAAAACAAAACAAAAACTCAAAAAGTAATCCAAACTTTTCATTAGACTAAGGACAAATAAGAAGCTTCTATCTTCAAACCTTCCATGGTCCGTGGACACAAGCCTGTCACTTAAATGTTACAGCTTGCAAAAACATTTTTATCTAAGAGGAAAACAGCTGTACTGTTTTGGAAAAGATACAAGGCAGTTTTCCATTACCAATAAAGCTTCTGGGAAAAGAGGAAACACAGATTTATATTAAAATACATTACAGGTTGTGCAAAAGCAGAAACTTCAACACAGGAAAACTTTTAAAGTAAATAGGCTGGCTAGGAACTTACCTTTCTCTAATGGTGGGATAGAGACCCTGCCAGTTTGGGGCTGGAATGAGGTTGTTGTTACTGAGATTCTGCTGGTGGTACTGCTGGACAGTGGTGCTGCTGGAGTTGGCTGGTTTTTTACGAGGGAATATATCAGCAGCCATCTTCTTCTTCTTTTTAGTCTTCAAGGTAATTATTTCATAACAAACTGGGGGCAACTTGCTGCTGCTGCTGCTGCCGCCGCTGCCGCTGCCGCCGCCACTATTTGTCTTCTTTGAGCTTTTCTTGGACCTATTCTTTACCGTCTCTGGAAGCATCAAGAAGAAGGTGAGACATTTCATGTTCTTTTCCTTGTCATCTACCATGAGTACAGTATGTCTCTCTTTACAGCTAGATATCCCAAACTGGTGCGCACATCAAGGGAAAGAGGCTGGCACGAGCCAAGATGTTAACAGAAACCAACAAGCTGCTATTTTGCTTCTTTTCTCAGCCGGACAAGGTGACCTTTTCACTATGTTGAATAGAAACTGGCTTTAAGTTTTATCCAGTACTGGGTCTGCAAAATACATCTCCATCATGATTCCTATTTCTCTTATTTGCTCATAAAAATAACCCAGTTTCCTAGATCACCTGAAAAATGCTAGACTGAGCGAAGATGACAGGCAGAGAGCCGTAGCGCTTGTTTTCTGAATTAGGTTAGCAAGATGTGCTGGAGCCCTGCGAGTCTGTTCAGCCGGCTGAAGTTGTGTGGTGAATGGATCGGAGGAGAGTAGGTATTACAGCCCTGCAGATGGAGTCAGACAGCCAGTGCTCGGAGCCAATAGCTGAAGTCACCAATCATGATTGGACCAAGCAAAACAGTGACACCTATTGTAACGTGCACAGCTCTGATGTTAAAGGAACAGCAGTTGCATTCTGTTGTCTCCTGTATTACTGTATATTTAAATAAAATAAACAACCTATGACATAGATCTGCAAACAGGAAAGGAACAGTTTGTGCTCACAGACTTCTCTTCAGTAGATGTACATTTTTTATTTCCCCAGTTAAACAAGCAGGATCGATTAACAGAGGGTAGGGACTGATATCTACTCTGTATTTCTAGTAAAATCTTTATCCTGGCAGCATTTAGTTTCAAATACTTCAAACAAAATCCTCCTTTCTTCCCTCTAAAAGGGATTATTATAGCAAAACCATACTAAATAACACACTTACTACAGCTTAATGAAAAGGAATATTGTTTTTCTTTTTGCAGTCTCTTTGAATGCAAGTTATAGTCCAGTGCAAAGTAAGAGAGATGAGGTCATGTGTTCGTTTTACCTCCCAACATTTTCTAGTTCCTATGATGATCTTTGACAGGAGTCCCAGACCGGAAAATACTTTTAAATTAGACTAAGATTATACCAGTAGGTTTAGCCGCACTGAAACAGACAGGTTTTAGACATAAAAAGTAAGATTCAAATTACACAAATCTGCTAATCGGCATTTAAAATTATAATTCACTAAAAATAGGTCAGATGGGCCCTGCTCAGGATCTCAAAATCCAGCCTAAATGTTATGGCTACATTTAACTTGTCATGATTTTAAAGAATATAATCCACAACTTCTAACACAAAACCAGTAATAAGGCTATTCAAAATGATAAATGTTCTGACGCTGCTTAGTTAAAAATGCAAACAGGTTCTCCCTCCTTTGAATCAGAAGAACATATACTACTACGTATATGGTTTTCATGCATGTGAATCCCCCAACAATTTCTAGCCTTTGATGAGCAAGAAAAAACAAAACACCTGCTACGGGTGCCACACATGCTTATTTATGTCTAAAGACGGACTAATGAGGAGACTGAATCTCACCCTTATCTACCTGGATTACTCTCATTTGTTTCAAGTACAGCAGCCATTTGCTCCCTGTCCCCCCAACCCTTCACCTAAGGCAGTCTTCATGGCCACAGTCCTGCTTATAGCCCGGGAGTCGTCAGAATAATGACTGCCTGACCAAGCGAGGGCTCTACGAATGCACTGTGATGGTTATTATAACTAATAATCTGCTGAAGAGAACACACTGAAATCAAACTTTTAATCCCTGGACCCTAAATCGTGACACTGAGCCAAGGAATATCCTCTTTATTGTCTTCATTATCACGCTTAAAACTGCAAAGCCAGGACAGGACTGACTGTGTAAGAGAACCAACGGTCTTTTCCACAAGGTTATTCATCCCCATTTTAGAAGGACCCTGAAGTGCTGCTTATTTATTACAATTATTGTGTGTTCCCAATCACAGGGCTACACATCCTTTCAAATCACACAATGTTACAGAGAGAGATCTAATAGACCAGTTTTTAAAAAGCATGCAGTGAAAGGTATAAAGAAGGAGCACATGTGTTCTATTTGAGCTGATTACCCAGGATATGGATAAAACCAAAAGATTTCTCTCCTGCTCAACTGCTACTGAACTTCCAGACACCAACCTCCTTAGAAAGCCCCCACAGCAGGGAGGTCCTTCTGATCAGGATTAGTCCAAACATACCTGACTTTCAGGTCAGATAGCGACCAATTAGATTGCAAAGGGAAATGAGCTGCTTTACTACTAATAATTTACTACTAATAATAATAATCATCTGGGGGTACCTGGGTGGCTCAGTGGGTTAAAGCCTCTGCCTTCAGCTCAGGTCATGATCTTAGGGTCCTGGGATCGAGCCCCACATCGGGCTCTCTGCTCAGCAGGGAGCCTGCTTCCCTCTCTCTGCCTACTTGTGATCTCTCTCTCTCTGTCAAATAAAATCTTAAAAAAAAAAAAATCATCTGGACAGACAAAATAGTCAAAGCACAAAAAGCAGACGCAAGAACTTAAGAAGGCGTTGTGGCTTTTATTCATTTCACATGCAGTTCAACACCTTTTTCCAAGAAAACCTTGAACAACCACTGCTCTTACATCATTAGAACAACAAGTGCACACAACAGCTTAAGAAAATTATATAATATTTTAGAAAATGTTCTTCCTGAAATTCAAGGTTTTGGGTATTTGGAAAATTAAGTTCTGTGGAAAAGCTTGAACATTCTATTTACATGAAGCACTGCTCATTCTGAATCCCCTAGAACAACGCTGCAAAGAGGGCCACTGTCACTCATGAAATGTGGGGGTTGATGAGTATGGCTCTTTTAAAGGTATGTTCTTAAATACAAAAAGTAATACAATTAAAATTTAAATGACATTTTAATTTTTGTAGCCCATTTGAAAAGCATGAAAATGTTAATAAAAATCAAGACATGGAAAGCTTCTTGAAAGCTTTATTTTCCTACCATGGTTTAAAAGGTAACATCAAGCCCTTGCTACTAGAAGCAGCGGCACCTCCAGACAGTCTGTTAGAAATCCAGAAACTCCTCCAGATTCTGGATGAGAAGTGCATTTTTTTTTTTTTAAAGATTTTATTTACTTATTTGACAGAGATCATAAGAGGCAGAGAGGCAGGCAGAGAGAGAGAGAGGAAGAAGCAGGCTTCTTGCCAAGCGGAGAGCCCAATGAGGGGCTCGATCCCAGGACCCTGGGATCATGTGAGCTGAAGGCAGAGGTTTTAACCCACTGAGCCACCCCGGCACCCCCAGAAGTGCATTTTAACAAGACCCTCTAGGCAATCTGTATGACATTCAAATTTGAGAAAGCCGCCTGTCAGATTAAAATAAAGAAGGCTACAAGGTCTCCCAGTGATCCAGTATCAAAAGCTGGAGCTGCATTTGCATTTAGTTATCAACTGTAGAAATAATTCAAAATAATTAATTTGGTTTGGTCATAAAACTTAACCTTGGTGTCTTATTCTAAAATTCTTCTGATTAGGCCCTAATGTCAAAATTCTAGGATTCAGGTGTGTGGAGAGCCAACAGAAAGGCCTCGAAATATTTTTCAAACTCTGGAAAAGCAGCTCATGCTCATGATTATTTTATAGGACAAAGACAGAGGTCATTTTAGTGGGAAAAATAAAGGATTAAAGAATGCCAAGTGTGAAACAGATGACCACTTAATATTTTGAAATAATCTACTTCACAATTCTATTTCGAAAACTTAGTATTGTGGAACAGCAAAACTAGCAATTGAGGAATGTGGTTTAGTACTGGCTCAACCACCAAAAATTGATTGTATGTGTGTGTTGAAGGGGAGGGGAGTCTGACAAATCATTTAGCCTTTAAGGGCATCAAGTTCCTCAGCTACAATATGAACAGGTTCTCTAGAACAGCTGAGTGTTTCTCAATCTTTACCTTCAATCCTCAGTTAAGAAATGCATTTTGGGGCGCCTGGGTGGCTCAGTGGGTTAAAGCCTCTGCCTTCGGCTCGGGTCATGAACCCAGGGTCCTGGGATCAAGCCCCGCATCAGGCTCTCTGCTTAGCAGGGAGCCAGCTTCCTCTTCTCTCTCTCTCTGCCTGCCTCTCTGTCTACTTGTGATCTCTGTCTGCCAAATTAAAAAAAAAAAAAATGCATTTTATATCTGGACTCAGTACTAGCGCACGTGCACGCCACCAGACGCACCCATAAATGGAAAGATGGTTCACAAAACAGAACTCTTAGCCCGTTATGATAGCACAGATATTTTCTATCCTATTTTTCTCTTTTCTTTTTAATGTTGGTCTTGATTCATTCCACTGATTTCACAAGCACAGTTTAAGTAGTACTAGTTTAGATGATTTCTAATAGCTTTCAAGGTTTAACATTCCAGGGTAACTTTTCTATCAAGAACTTGGGACTAAGGGGAAGAAGGCAATGGTTGCATCAACAAATGGCATACACAACTGGGAGTGTGCATTTATTTTTCTGGGAAGTAGAGCCACAGTTATCATCTGTCTTTCAGGGTAATCCATGACCCAGAACACAATGAAATACTATGAAGATTTATGATTGATTTGAATACACAAAATATTTATATCACTTTCCTCTCTGCTTACGTATCTATAGGCTATTTCATTAAATACAAATTATGGTTTCTTTCCCTCCCTGAAATTAAACATAGAGTTAAAATTCCATCTATTGAATCTGCAACGCAAAAACATCCCCTAGTAGGTTGAAGGGTGGATAAATAAAGGATACCAACCCAAAATGTATTTTTGTATTTCATTCTAATAATTCTTTTCAACTAGCATTGTATCATTTTTTCTTATGTCTCCTGAATTTTTTTTTATTTTATTTTATTTATTGTCTGAGAGCGAGCAAGCGAGACAGCACAAGCAGGGGAAGAAGGCAGAGGGACAGGTAGAAGCAGACTCCTCTCTGAGCAAGGACCACGGACGAGGAAATCTATCTCAGGACCCTGGGATCGTGACCTGAGCTGAAGGAGACGCCTGACTGACTGGGCCTCCCAGGCATCCCCCGTCCCAGA